CTAAGGGGCAGCGCCCTTTCAGGGGGGGGGTACGGAGGAGAAGGAACTGCCGGCAGAGTGGTGGGAGGAGAGGTATCCCGGGGGTCCCAGGGAGGAGCAGGCTTTCACAGAGAAGGAGCCTCCCAGAGAAACAGCAGGGGTGGGAAGGGGACCAGGGGAGGAATGGAGGGTGGCACTCCTTTCTGTCCTCACTCCTTGCTTTGACATTGCCATTCTGGTGGCAGTCCTGGCCCAAATGTCACCTCCTCCATGAAGCCTTCCCTTGTTTCTTTCTCTTCCACAGTTAGATACACTCTACTACGGGCCACTGTTACATCTTGAATATACAACAGTTTTGCTCTTGCTTTGCACGGTGGGAATTTAGAAATAAATGTATCGGGACCAGCGATGGCATAATGGTTATGTCGCTGGACTCCCGCGAAGTCCACTGCATTTGAGCCGCAGACCCGAGGGCTTAAACTCACAGCTGGCACATGTGCGTGAGTGCCCAGAATACCTAGAGGAGAATGGAGAAGAAGGGGTTGCTGGTGGCCATCTCCCATGGGGGATGATTTCTCACTTTCTGTCTCTTTCTCTCTGGAGAGCACATGTGCCCTATAGCAAAACAAAACAAAACAAAACAAAACAAAACAAAACAAAAGAAAACAAAAACAAAAACAAAAAAACTCTCTCAAGAAAAAGAAGAGTATTAAAGTTTGGTATAACAAAGCCTTCCTGTGGAATGTACATTGACCAATCATTCCAACAACCAGAGACACTTTTCTTTTTTAAAGATTTTTTTTCTTTTGGCCGTGGGGTGTGAGTGCTGGCCAGAGAGAGACAGAGAGAGACAGTTAGAGGGAAAGTGAGAAATCACTCCCCTCCCCCCTCCTGTCCCAACCAGGGTGGATGGCCACACTGCAATCCCTTCTCTTCCATTTTCCTCCTGGGATTTTGGACACACGTGCACCCATGCCTGGTATGAATTTTAAGCTGCCACAGTCACTTGGAATCCAGCAGATCCTTAATCACTACACCACCTGCTGGCCCCAACCGGAGGCCTCTGAGTACAGACTTTCTTAAAGTTTCTAAAGAAACCAATGAGATAATTTTAATGTGGAGAAACAAGGCAGACCTCTCCCACACACTGATCTTCTTAGGGAGGGCAACCCCAGTGTCTAGCAGATGCGTGTCAACACAGACGAACAAAGATGTAACCAGCACACTTCTGTTTGCTCCTGTCTGAGACTCCCTGGGCGGCTCTGTTCTTGGTCACACTGGGGGAGTGAAGGTCGATGACTGCTTTGTCTGTTTCATCCTCTCCGACAGAACTTCTCAAGGCAAATACCCACTGTCTTCTTTTTATTGAGCATTTAGCATAATGGGTAGTAAATTGCTCTGTATCAGTCAATGAATGAATTGATAACTAAAAGGAGTGTCTACAACATCAGAATAAACTTTTAAAGGTTTACTAAGTGTGTTTAAAATAGCAATCTCTATTTTATTGAAAAGAACATTTAAATGCCTGACCCAGTCAGTCACACAATTTCAGAGACTGCATTTAATATATAAGTGTGGTGAGGCTGCACGTGTGGTTTAAATAGGATGGGCACTTGTTTTCACCAAGTCAGGGGGAGACTAAGAGGAACTGGGAAATGCTAAAGCCAGAGATGAAAAGCCCAAGGCCCTGGATGAAACTGCATTGTTCTCTCCAGCTCCAAATATTGGGAAGCCTTCCTGAGGGCAGAGAAAATAGGCCTGGGGTGTGCAGGAACAAGAAGCAGGTGGTCGTAGGTGTGACCTGACTGCTGCCTCTGTCACTGTAGGAAAGGCAGAGTAACTCTGGCTCATCTGTTAATTCTGTGCTAGCTCACCCCCA